GTGGAGGCCTGGGCGGCCGCGCGAGACCACATCATGAGGCCCCGAAGGGCCGGCCCCCGGGGGCCTCTGTGAGGGTGCGGGGAGCTCGGGGGCAGCCTCGGGCAAGGGACGGCTTGGGCAAGTCCCGAGCCAGACCCCCTCGCGCCGTGAAGCAACAAAAATCACGACGGGGCGGTTTTTCTTCGCCAGTTTCGGCCTCTGGAAGCCCTCGCCGGGGCCTCGGGAGCGTCGAGAACGACTCTGTACGAGGAACCGGTCCCGGGGAAGGGGCCCCTCTGGGGGCCGACGTCGTGAAAACTCACGACGTCGGGGGTCCGAGAGAGAGAGAGGCGCGCGCCGGGAATGAATGCACGGCTGGAGGCGCGCGCGCGGGCGCTGCGTGCTCCCGCGGGAGGCCATGCAGCGCGGCCGCGCGAGGCCCGAGCCCGCGTGGAGGGGCACGCGGCCGCCGCTCGCCCGGGCGGGCCGCGCCAGGTCTGGCCCGCCCGCCAGACCCGGACACCCAATGTCCCTCGAAGCCAATTTTTCCAAGCGGCGTCACGAGCAAAATGCGGCACTTTGCAGCACTTCCAGAAGAAACCCGGACGCAGGCCCCAAAAGCCTGCAAGACCCCCCCCCTTACCCCGGACACACGCACCCGAATCCTGCAGTGCAGCACACACAAAAAATGCACGGGTGCTGAAAGCCGTGACTCTGCAGGAACGGATGTCGCTTCCTTGGTTTATCAGTGTCCTGGTATATCTGGGGGCCTGCGGCGCGGGCACGGGGGAGGTCCGGTCAGCGCACGCAGCTGGTCTTCCCGGCGCGCCCCAGCGCATCGAGGCGACAGTGCCCAGCGGCGGGGCCGCAGCCAGCCCCGTGCGGCGCCATGCGGGGCGCCTCGAGGGACACCGCCCGAGAGGAGGGGGAGGAGGAGGAGGAGGAGGAGGAGGAGGAGGAGGAGGAGGAGGAGGAGGAGGAGAGGAGGTGGAGGAGGAGGGAGGTGGAGGAGGAGGGAGCATCGTATAGCCCTTCGTTTGCCTCGCTTGCCCGAATCGCCCCGAGAGGCCCGAGGGGGGTGACGAGCGCGCGCAGCCCATCAGATCTGCCCTGCTCAGGGATGGGGCGGCCCCCCCCGGCCAGGGGGCGAGCGCGGATTGAAGCAGTACGCTGGTGATGCGGTGTGGGGATGAGCAGCACATGCCCGGAGCAACGGAAACAATGGAAGTGGGGTAGGTGGAAGTGCAAGCGACAGGCCGACCGATGGATTGGGAGTTTTTGCCTTAGGCGCAGTGTTCCTCTCGGCTCACTTCCCCCCCCCCTCTCTCCTCCTCCTCCTCCTCCTCCTCCTCCTCCTCCTCCTCCTCCTCCTCCTCCTCCTCTTCCTCCGTCCTTTTGCCTCTTTTCCCCTTTTCTGTCCTTGTCTTGCTCGTCCTCCTCCTCCTCCGTCTGTCCTCCTCCTCCTCCTCCTCCTCCTCGCCTCCTCTCCCTCTTCCTCTCCTCCTCCTCCTCCCTCCGCCTCCTCCGCCTCCTCCTCCTCCTCCCTCCTCCTCCTCCTCTTTCTCTTCCTCTTTCTCCTCCTCATCCTCCTCCACCTCCTCCTCCTCCTGCTCCTCCTCGTGTTTTTCGTCCTCCTCATTCTCCTCCTTGTCCGCCTCCTCCTCCTCCTCCATCTCCTCTTCAGGCGCCTCCTTGTGCTGTCCTCCTCCGTGTGATTCGCTGATTCCCTCCTCCTTCCCCGTCCCTTTCACCTCCCTCCTCCTCCTCCGTGTCCTTCTCCGCTGGCCCCACGTGCTCCGTGCCTACCCCTTCTGTCCTCGTCTTTCTCCTCTCCCTCCTCCTCTCCCTTTCCACTTCCCTTCACCTCCACCTCCTCATCCCCCTCCTTCCCCCTCCTCCCTCCTCCCCTCCTCCTTTTTCTCATCCTCCCCTTCCCTCCTCCCTCCATTCCCACCCCAAAGAAAAAACCGAAAACGATAGAAGCACATGCCTTTTCGACCGCGTCCTCGTCGTCGCCATCGTTGTCGTACACGTCGTCGCCGCCGCCGTCATCCCGATTTCGCTCGAAGGCGGCGCCGTTGCCGCCTCCGCCGCCGCCGCCGCCACGTCTGCCGCCGCCACGTCCGCTGCCGCCGCCGCCGTCGCCCTTTCGCCGCCGCCGTCGCCGTCGCCGTCGCCGTCGCCGTCGCCGCCGCCGTCGTCGTCGTCCTCGTCGTCGTCGTCGTCGTCGTCGTCGTCGTCGTCGTCGTCGTCGTCGTCCTGCTTGAGCGCGAGGGCGGCTTCCGCGGCCCTCAGGGCGCTCTGCCACTGGTCCATCTGCAGGGCGGCGTTCGCCTGCGCGCTCCCCCCCCCCCCGCGGGAAGGGAGGCCCGGGGAAGAGAGGGGAGGAGGAGAAGGGGGAGGAGGGAGGAGGGTCAGGAGGAGGAGGAGGAGAAGGGGGAGCAGAGATGATGAGGATGAGGATGAGGATGAGGATGAGGATGAGGATGAGGATGACGATGACGATGACGATGATGATGATGATGATGATGATGATGATGATGATGATGATGATGATGATGATGATGATGATGATGATGATGATGATGATGATGATGATGGTGATGATGATGATGATGAGGATGAGGAGGAGGAGGAGGAGGGCACTGTAGCGTCCTGCGCGAACTTGCCAGCGATAAAATCTTTTTTTTTGTCATTCGCAATCGAAAACGTGGAACGATACCCGTGGAAACAACCTTAGCCACTGTGAGGTGCTGAAGCCTCTGGGCCCAACCACATCACGCTCCTGGGCCAGGGCAGCGACGCGCTTCCACATGTCAGGATGGGAGAGAATACAAAACATCCTGCCAGCTTGACTCCCAGCAAAGCCCTTGGCCACGCAGGCCGAGTCAGCTGAAGAGCCCGACTGCGCGATCGTTTCGCGCACCAGGCCTGCGAAACGATGCAATGCGAGAGGTGGGTGCGCTGCGGGGGCAGCGCAAATTCGGGCCAATTTCACCAGCTCGCGGCGCCCAGCTGCGGGCAACCGCCGCGCACTCCCCCTGGTCAACTGCCTCGATGCCATTGGCCTTGTCGGGGGGGGGGGGCCCTCGCGGCGCGCGCTTCCAATCGACTTCCGGGAGAAGGTTGGGCCTTTAAGACGTGGCCCTTTTCCCGGGCTTCCACGATGACCGCAACGACTGCGGCCTCGTTGAACCGCGGATGGGGGGCGCGGCTTGGCAAGGGCCGCAGCTTGGCCTCCAAGGTGTTCGCCGAGTTCGCCGAGGTCTGACCCTGGATCCCAGCTTCGCCGCCTGCCGAGGTCTGGCCGCGCGCGAACCTGCGCGGACCCAGCCCCAGAAACGCATGCCGCCCCTGGGCTCTCCGGGTCTGCTGGCGAGCTTGCAGAGCCCCCATCCGCAGACTTGCCTGCCCGCGGGCTCCTGCGACGCACCCCTGAGCGCCCTGAGGGCTGGGGCCCCGCGGCTGCGCCCGCGAGTGGGGGGGCGGCAGCGGCAGGGGGGGGATCCTGGCCCGGGGCACGGGGCGGGCCGCGTCGAAGGAGCGCGCGCGAGAGGTCGGCCCTGGGCGCGCTGCATCGCGCAGCTGCTCGGAAGCGCGCACGCTCTGCAGGAGGGGCAACGGCCGTCGACCGCCGGGCAGCGCTAGGGCCACTGATGGTCGCCCAATGCTTCGCCGCGACGGCCCGCTGCAAGACGGGGGCGCGCGCGCCCCCCCTCCCCGTTGAAACCGTTGCCTGTCTCGCGGGGAACGCAACTGTTGAGGCCCAGCGCGCGACATTGTCGGCCAAGCAGGCCGACTCGCAAGCAGCTGCCCTAACAACACGCGATTGCTGGATAAGACCAGGCGGCTCGCGATCTGGCTGGCGGCCACCGACGAGGGCCTGCCAGAGCCGACCCTTTTTCCTCCTCGCGCCGCTCGCGTTGGACGGCCGGAAGCGCGTCGGCGCCCTCGCTATCCCGCGCGAAACCACCGCGTGCCGGCGCCTCCTCATCTGGGCACCTCCGTCTCGAAATTCCCCCCCCTCGTAGGCGTCGGACTGGCTCCCCAGTCCTCCAGCGCTCCGAACTGGAGAGCTGGTGGAGATTCGTTGGGGACCCCCCCCCTGGACCCCGCGCCGCCGGCGTCGGGCGGGGGCGGCGGGGGCGTTTCCAACGGCGTCGGCGTCCCGGGCCGCTGCGCCGCGAGAGGCCACGGTTCCGAAGACTGCGATCCGCTCCCGTCCACTCGCACCGCGCGCCCCCCGGCGCGGGGGTCGCGGGGGCCAGCGCAGCGGCCCCGTGGCCCGCCCGCCCGCGCTGCCCATCCCGCCCCCCCGCCGGGCTGCGGGCGCCCGGGGGGCGGAGCGGCCAGGGCGGGCGCGGCCCCCCGGGTCGCTGCAGGCGCGCGCGCCGCTGGCGAAGACGATCCGCCCGCTGCGCCCGTCCCCCCTTCGCTCGCGCCAGGCGAGGGGGTCCTGGGGGCATGCGCGGCGGCGCTTTGACGGATGCCCTGCCTCTCAAGTTCTCTCGGCATCGGCCTGCTTCGACAGTTGCGAGAAAGACTTCGGAGAGCGCGCGGCCGCGCCTGAGCCCGATCCGATGAGAAATTCAAGCCCGCCGAATTGTGAAGCCCTCTAGTGGGATCGCGCTCCAGTCCCCGATGGCGAGCCACGGCCCCTGGGCTGCGTTGAACAGAGTTTCCGCGTTCGACAGCCCGTGCGCACTGGCCAGCGGCCCAAGTGAGGATGTCGGGCGCGCCCCAGTGACCAGCAACGGCCGGCCCGGAGCGGGGGGCTGCGTGGCCATCATATCACTGACGTCGATGCCTGGCCGCACGCTCTCCTTATCCAACTCACGGAGCCCAGCTTGATCATTGGGCGAGCAAGCTATGTGCTGGAACTAAGAATGCTTATATGTCCTACGGACTCCCCTAGCGACTCCGCCAGCTCGGTCCTTGTCCCCTGGTGTACCGGGACTTCCTTCAGTCGTGCAAGAGCAAGCGGGAAACCGACGGTTCGGAAAGTGCGCCAGTGGATCTCCCTGAATACATTAAGGGGGGGGGTCCAGACCTCCCCCCCCCTCCCCCTTCAAGGGGGGAGAGGGGGGGGGGGGTCCGGACCCCCCCCTCCCCCCCTTCCCCCCCTTTATGGGGGAGGTCCCGATCCCCCCCCCTCTCCCCCCTTGAAGGGGTGGTGGTGGCGGGGGGGTCCGCCCGCATGTGGGCCGAATCCCAACCAACTGGGCCCAATCCCAACCAACTGGGACCAATCCCAACCAGTGCGAAAAGCAAACTGGGCCCAATCCCAACCTGCTTGGGATAGCCTTACAATAAGATTTTCAGTGTAGAGAAGCCCAAGACGACTGTGAAGACCAAGTGACACCTCTTATGTCGTCAGCGCAAAGGTTCTGGAAGCCAACATACGTGCTAGAGTTGGAATTGGTCTCAGTTTTGGTCTGCGCACGAGCACTATATTAAGATGAGCAAGAGGGCGCCGAAGCGTAAGCAAAACGGCACCGAATGGCATCGATTCTAAAATATGCAAAAAGGGATCCTCCTATTATTAGCAGTAGTCGTAATAGTAGTGGTAGTAGTGATAGTGGTAGTAGTAGTAGTAGTAGTAGTAGTAGTGGTAGTAGTAGTAGTAGTAGTAGTAGTAGTGGTAGTAGTGGAGTAGGAGTAGGAGTAGGAGTAGGAGTAGGAGTAGGAGTAGGAGTAGTAGTGAGGATACTAGTAGTAGAAGTAGTAGTAGTAGCAGCAGCAGCAGCAGTAGTAGTAGTAGTAGTAGTAGGTCGTAGTAGTAGTAGTAGTAGTAGTAGTAGCAGTAGCAGTAGTAGTAGTAGCAGTAGTAGTATTAGTAGTAATAATAGTAGTAGTAGTAGTAGTAGTCGTAGTAGTAGTAGTAGTAGTAGTAGTAGTAGTAGTAGTAGTAGTAGTAGTAGTAGTAGTAGTAGTGGTAGTAGTAGTAGTAGTAGTAGTAGTAGTAGTAGTAGTAGTAGTAGTAGTAATATTAGTAGTAGTAGTAGTAGTAGTAGTAGTAGTAGTAGTAGTAGTAGTAGTAGTAGTAGTCGTAGTAGTAGTAGTAGTAGTAGTAGTAGTAGTAGTAGTAGTAGTAGTAGTAGTAGTAGTAGTAGTAGTAGTAGTAGTAGTAGCAGTAGTAGTAGTAGCAGTAGTAGTCGTAGTAGTAGTAATAGTCGTAGCAGTACTGGTAGTAGTAATATGAGTATTAATAGTAGTAGGTGTTGTTTTTGTTGTAGTTGTAGTTGTAGTTGTAGTTGTAGTTGTAGTTGTAGTTGTAGTCGTAGTAGTGTCATAGTAGCAGCAGCACCAGTAGCAGTACCAAAAAACAAAATTGAATTGTTGACGCTTCGCGTATCCCCACCAGCCCATCCAGAAACGATGCTCAGGGGAGTTGAGGTGATCAGGGAAGTCGGGGAGCATGCAGAATAACAAAGGGCGGGGGAAGCTGTCACAGACCCCGAGAGGGGGAGGATGGAAGAGGAGTCGTCGTCGTCGTCGTCGTCGTCGGAGGAGGAGGAGGAGGAGGAGGGGGAAGAGGAGGAGGAGGAGGAGGAGGAGAACGGAGAAGGAGGAAGAATCGGAGGAGGAGGAGGAGGAGGGGAAGGAGCTTCTTGGGGGTCTTTTGAGGGCCGCTTGGAGGGCTTTTTGGGCGCCTTGGGGCATCTTGGGCGCCTCTTGGGACCCTCTTGAGGCGCTCTGGGGAGCCTTCGGGGCGCTTTTGGGGCCATCTTGGAGGGAGTCGATCAAACAAGAGGGGGGGTTTAATTAGCGCCCCCCCTCGGAAGCCCCTAAAATCGCCTCGTGGACCCCTCTTGGAACGCTCTTGGAGTGCTCTTGGGCGCTCTTGGGGCCGTCTTGGGGCTCTTTTGGGGCTCTCTTGGGGCCCTCTTGGGCCATCTTGGAGCCATCTCCAGGCCTCGGATGGCCATCGGAAGCGAAAAGGCGAGAAAGCATAAATCATTGATTTTCCTTAGGTTTTGGGACGATTTTGGCCTCTTCGGGGCCTCCTTGGGGAGCTGTTTGGCCACTTGGAGTTATCTTGGGGCCGTCTTTGGGCTTCTTGGAACCATCTTAGGAGCCATCGTGAGCGATCTTGCGCTATCTTGAGCCATCTTGGAGCTCATCTTGGGTTCTCTGAGGCGCTCTTGAGCCGTCTTGGGCCATCTTGGACGCCTCTAACTACCGCGGGCCCCCCCCGTCGCATGGGGTCCAGGGGAGGGGGTAAAAGGGGGAGGGTAAAACACCCCTCCCCAAGGGGAAGAGGGAGGGTTGGCCGAGGAATCTGTTGCTGAACCAGACTGGAAAGTTGTCCCAACCATCCTACCTAGTAGTAG